TCTGAGAGGCGGGTGGGGTGTGGAGAACAGGCACCGTTGGGGGATCAGGGGTGTCTGGGGTGGGTGCGGGCAGGACGCGGGGCTCCCGCCCAGGCTGCAGAGTGGCCTTCGCCCGCGGTGTGCTGTGCAGCCTGTGGCTTTTCCAGAGGCCTGAAGATCAAGTGCCTGGAGGCTGGTGGTGCCCCGACCTTTCTGGGGACTAGGGTGGCAGGGAACCTGCCTGGCACACAGGCCCTGCCCCCGTCGCCCCTTGACCAGGGCCTCATGCTGCTGCCGTGTGCCGGGGAGGGGGGTAGGTGGTGGGGGGGGGGCTGGAGACGGGGCTGGGGAGGGGTGTGAGCCTGAGCCTGGGGAGGGCCATGGGGCTTTGCTCAGGAAGGAGGTTCAGCTGGGCTCGCTTTCTCCCCCAGAAGCTCAGTGGTTCCCTGTGTGCACGTGTGCAGCTCACACGTGTGTGCATGCACCCCTGCCCCTCGGCTCCTCCATCCCCACCTGGCCGCCTTTCCAGCGCCAGGCCAGAGCGTCGGGTCATGGGGGCAGTAAAGAGCCCGGCATCTGCCCATTGCTTTGCGGGTCTGTGCGTGTGAGAGGGGACATGATGCGGAGGATTCTCCGGGTGGCCGTCCCTGCCCTGCGGGGTATCGGCCACGTCCCTCTGCTGCACCCACCAGGTTGGCGCCCAGAAATGTCCCAGGCATGGTCTGGGGTCCTTGGGGGGAAGGGGGCCCTGGCTGAGATCCCTGTTGAGGGGGGGTCCCAGTCCTCACGGCAGGCCCTGAGGTTGCCCTCTGCAAATCCCAGTGCGGCGCCGAGGGGAGAGCGTGCCGGAGAAGCCACGGGGGCGCCCCCGCCTCCTGGGGCTTTGTGGCTGTGTCTGCGGTGGGACCCTCTTCCTTCTTTTCCTCTTGGTCCGGGTCTGGGGCGCACACGCTGGTCGGGGTCCCATCTCAGGATCCACTGAGCAGCTTGGTCGGGACAGGAGCCTGCTGGGCCCTGCACTGGGACCGCCTGCCGCCTGTGGCCTCTGGGAGATGCAGGCGGGCTCGTGAGCTGGGCGTCCTCGTGGGCGGCGTGTGGGGCGAGGAGGCAGCACCGGGCCGCTGGCTGGCGTGGGACCGCGCAAAATGCGGGGACACGGCGCCTCTTGCGGCTTCCAAGTGCTCTGTGGGTTGTCTTGGGCCTTTTGCATAGATTGGGGGGCGGGCAGAGCCTCGAGGGAAGGAGGCGGACAGGTGCAGGTGTGCAGCCTCCTGGCGTGTCCGGAAACGGGGCCTCCCTGCCTCCCCAAGCTAGCAGTTCCTCCCCCACCCGGGGAGGCTGCGACCGAGCTCCAGCACTGCCAGCGTCGTGTGGAACCCGGTGGATGTGACCGCTGCCCCACCTGGCTCGGCCTGGGGGAGGTGTGGCCAGAACCCCGTCGTCTGCCTGCCTTACTTTCTTTTTTTTTTTTTTTTTTAATGTTTTATTTATTTCTAGGAGAGAGAGAGAGAGAGACAGCGTGAGCAGGGGAGGGTCAGAGAGAGAGGGAGTCACGGACTGAAACAGGCTCCAGGCTCTGAGCTGGCAGTCAGCACAGAGCCCGACACGGGGTCTGAACCGAACCGCGAGATCATGACCTAAGCTAAAGTCGGACGCTTAACTGACTAAGCCACCCAGGCGCCCCTGCCTGCCTTACTTTCTTACATATTTATTTATGAAGCTTATTTTGAGAGAGTGTGCGTGAGAGTGGGGAAGGGCAGGCTCCGCACTCTGACACGGGGCTCTGTCTCACCCACTGTGAGATCACGATCTGAGCCCGAGTCAGGCATCGGGCGCTCCACCGACTGAGCCGCCCGGCGCCTGTCCCCTGTCATTTTTGCTGCCCCGGATCCTTCTGTGTGGACGGTGTGAGGCCCAGTCTAGGCAGCGGTCCGAGTGTGGGCGTGCATCCAGACCCCGGAGCCTCTCACCCTCCCTGACTCCTCGGTCTGCAGGGACCCACATTTTTGGCAAATGCTTCCGGGGCGTCTAAGGCAGGGGTGTCCTCACCCGTGTTTGGAGAAGTTCTGGGCTCGGGCGTCCCGAGCCTCGAGCTAAGGGATGTTCCCGGGAGCCGGGTGGGGGCGCCACCCAAGACACGCCTCATCGTGTGTCTGTGTGGCTCCTTTCCCGGGAAGCGCCCCGACTTCGGGAGCCCTTGTCATTCTCCGCAGGGAACCTGGTCTCCGGCCCAGAGCTGAGCCTCGGGTGAGGCCCTGGGGTGCGGGGCAGGGGAGGTGCGAGCTCCAGCGGGTGGCAGGCAGGTGCGGCCCAGGCGGGGATGGCCTTGACCGCAGGTACTTCGGGGCGCAGCTCGGGTGGGCGGGTGCCTGGGGAGCTGGTCTCTAAGCAGACAGCCCGGTGCCCTCGCCTCCCGTCACACGTGCGCTCCAGCCTCAGCCTTTTCCTCGCTGTTCCCCCACGGCCGCTCCGCCTTGTCCTTGTGGCTCGGTGCAGCTGCTCTCTCCTCCGAGAAGCCCTCCCTGACCACTCCCTGTGGCCCCAGCCCCAGTTGCTGGGTTGGTATGTTTGTGTGTGTGTCCCGTCCTGGAATGTGAGCCGCGGGGGCCCAGGGGCTGTGTGGTCCGCTCGCCACCCTATCCCGCTCCGGAGCAAACGCGAGAAGGCTGTTGCTCTTCTCAGGAGACTGAGCAAGGTTCGAACCCAGGCCCGGCTCTGTTTACGTGGGGGCAGAGGGCGTGGGGGCCGTGGGGGGTTGGGCCCTGGGGCCCGGAGCCAGAGCCTGGGGATCCCGGTGGAAGCCGCCTGGGGCCTCCTGGCAGACGTGGCCGAGGGTGGGGGTGGGGAGGCGCGGCCAGCTGCCAGCCTGGCTGTTGCTGTGGTGACCCTGGGGCGCTGCCGCCTCGCAGGGCAGCGGAGAGGGTGACGCGGGGGCCGCTGGTGGCCCCACAGGCCCGGGCAGGTGTGCCCTGGGCTCCCCGCCGGGTTCGCCGCCAGCCCCGCGCGCCCCCTCTCTCCGTCCGCCCCGTTGTGCTAATGCCAGGCCGCCAGGTGCGAAGCGTGTTCACAACCGTGCACAGATACGTGCGCTGCCTGACCTGGGGCTCGTCTGCCACCCTGAGAGGAGCCCCCTTAGTGCCCCCGGCCCGGACCCCCTGCAAGGCCCCTGCTACTTTGCTACCGTCTCCTCCAGGTTGGCCTGTGTGGACGCATCCTGGTGAGGGGACCCTGCGTTACATGGCCTGGGCCCGGCGTCCCCTGCTTGGCGCGTCCTCAGGGCTCACCCACGCCGTGGCGCGTCATCCTGTCGCCGCGTGGAGAGACCGTGGTGGTTGGTCCCGCCGTGGGGGGCGGGTGGCCCTCGTGAGTTCCGCCTCTTCTTCCTGGTCGTGCTGGGGAGCCCGTCGGCCTGCGACGACCCGAGCCCTCAGCCAGCCCCTCCTGTGCGCTCGGGACGTTGATTCCCGGACCCGTGAGAACGGCCTGTCCCACGGGCAGCCTCCCCCACCCGCGGCCTCCTCAGCCTCCTTACGCGGATACAGTCACATGTGTGGCTGCTTATCGTCCGTAGTTCCGCGTGTAAACAGCACCTCTGGTTGGCGTGGGCTGAGCGTGGCCGCCCGGTCTCCCTGCCACCGCATGTGGCGCGTCTGGAGGGACTTGGGATGCTGCTCCGGCCCCGCAGGTGGCTCCCCAGTCCCCGCAGGTGGCTCTCCGGCTTCCTTGGGTTTGTCCCGACCCTGTGGGTGCTGCCCTGGGCCCCTTAGCACGTCTGTCTTTGTTCCAGAGTGAGGGCTCCTCTCGGATGTGGGGGGCCCAGTGGGGGAGAGGCTCGCGCCCAGTGGCTCCGAGGGCCACCCTGGTGGCTGCCTCGCTGAGTGCCGGGGAACTCGGCAGAACAGCTTCTCTCGGGAGCAGGGGCCGGAGGGAGTGGTGGGCCCCGCCCGCAGGTGCAGAAAGGAGCTGGGGTCCGGGGCGCCCGGTGCTGGTGTGAGAAGAGGTGGAGGAGAGGCTGATGCCAAGGGCTGCACCGTCTGCCCTGATGAGGCTGTCGCATACCTGACAGGCTGTGAGGCCCAGAGAGGCCCGGCCACTTGCCCAGGGCACCCAGTATCTGGTTGGCAGAGCCGGCCCTCCCCGACACTGCCTTCCGGCGCCCCCGTCTCCCATCTGTGACACGTGGGACTTTGTCCCTGCCAGGAAGGCTGGCACACAGTAACGTCAGCCCACGGCCTGGGAGAGATGTGCATTAGGAGGGTCCCTGCTGCCTCATGGCTGCAGGGCCTTGGCCGAGCCGCCGACCCTCCGAGCTCCATTCTCTGCTGTGGAACAAGATGCTGACGTGAAGGGCAGCCTGAGGGCGGGTCCGGCCAGTCGGTGGGAAGGCGTTTCGGTTTTGGACCCAGTGCTGTGGGCACTGGGGGGATAGGGGGTGGTCAGGGGGCACAGGATGGTAAGTGGCCTTGCTCATGGTACTTTGCGTCCCCTGCACCTACGCTGATGTCCTTCGTGCCTCGCCTCTGGGAGCAGCTGCTGCGGGCCGGGTGCTGGGTCGCGGTGGCCGGGGCGGAGCTGAGGAGGAGGGCGGGATGGTGCAGCGCGTCACCTGGTAGTGGCGGCTGTTGGGAAGATGAGCAGGGAAGTGGAGGCCGGGGTGTGAGCTGGGCCGTCACTCGGGGCCTCCCTAGATTTGATGCTCTTATGTCACCGTCTGAAAACTGAATCATTTTTAAGCCCGGTCCCCCCAGATCACAGAGCTGGGCCTATGGGGGGGGGAGGCCGGAGTGCAGAGCGTTGGGTTGGGCCAGGGGGGCTCTGTGGGCAGTGGGAACAGTCAGAGCAAACAGCGCAAAGGCCCCGTGGCAGGAGCACATCTGGTGAGTTGAAGGAAGATGTTGTTGCCCATCCCCGTTTTACAGATGACTCGCGAGCGGGGACACGGCATCAGCTCCTTCGCCCGGAGCCCGCTTCCCGGCTCTGTCGCCTGACCCTGACCCTGACCTTGTGCTTGGTCCCCACAGGCTGACCCCCCACTACATCTACCCACAAGCCATCGTCCAGCCCAGCGTGGTGATCCCGGCGGCCCCCATGCCGCCGCTGTCGTCGCCCTACATCGAGTACACGCCAGCCAGCCCGGCCTACGCCCAGTACCCGCCGGCCGCTTTTGACCAGTACCCGTACGCCGCCTCGCCCGCCACGGCCGCCAGCTTCGTGGGCTATGGCTACCCGGCCGCCGTGCCTCAGGCGCTGTCGGCCGCAGCCCCCGCGGGCACCACGTTCGTGCAGTACCAGCCTCCGCAGCTGCAGCCCGACAGGATGCAGTGACGGCCGCCCCGTCACCCGCACGCCAGGGAAGCGGCCGGCTGGGCGCCTGCACACGTACCTCTGGGGACCCCGCGGGAGCCCCGCCTGACCCCGGACGGACTGGAGACCACGTCCCTTTAAGTCCAGGGCCCGCCGTCCTGAGGGGGCCCTTTGGGAAACAGGAACGGCCGAGAGCTCTTTGAAGATACAACCCAGACCTCGCACACACCGCCAGCCTTCTGCCCCCCCCCCGCCCCTGCCCTCCCCTCGTCCCATGCGCCCACAGACCTGTCCCCGCAGCACCCGGCCGGGGCCCCTCGCCCCCTCCCCAGACTGGCTGCCCTGCGTCCCGCTCGGAGATGCCTTGCTGCGGGGGCACCCGAGGGAGCAGCAGAAGCGGGCGGTGAGCTGCGTGGCAGGGGTGTGGGGGGACCGTCCGCCTCCGGAACCCGCATTTACTAGGCGACAGCCCGCCCCACGCTGGCGACGGGGAGCCGGCCCACTTCCCCTTCTGTCGAGCTGCAACTTTTTTCTTATCGTCCTTATTTTGCTACTAAGATGATTTCAGAATCGTAGTCTATTTTTTCAATGGGACCTCCCACCACCAAGAATCCAGCACCTATTTTTGACTTTGAGAGACTCGCTTTTGTCGACGGCTCCACGCAAGGAGGCCGCAGCAGCCATGTCACCTGCCAGCTCACGGCCGGAGCCTCCAGGCAGGTCCCTCTGGGACAGGAAGCTGTCTCAGTTTGTCCCCTGCCAGCCACAAAGGGCAGGAGGGAGTGTGGCCCGAGGTGACGCTGTCGGAGGGCAGGGCCCTGGCTCCCTCCCTCGTGGGGTCACCTGCTCCGTACCCGCCGGGGCAGTGGGGCCGAGCAGAGACACCTCCTGCCTTCCTGGAAGGGGGCTCTGTCTTGGGCGGGGGGGCGGGGGAGGCGAGAGGTTCCAACAGGCCGCCCGGGGGGTGGGGGGGCTCCCGGCCGGGGCACCTGGGCTGTGCAGTGGCCCCCACTCAGGAAGAGGGGAGTGAGCCGAGGGGCAGGCTCGCACAGGAGACGGGGGGCGGGCCACCGAGCTGGGGGCGCTGGGGGTGTTCCTTCGGACCTACCTCAGGGAAGTGGGTGGCCTCAGGGGGCTGACTGACGCGGGCACACGCCTCGCGGCACGCCTGGTACTGAGTCAAAGCCCAGAAAATAAAGGTAGCTAATATTATAATAATATTTTTATTAGAACGTTCTGATTATAAAAATAAAACTTGTTTTCTTTAAAGAAAAACTTGGCCTGTGATTTTTCTCTTGAACAGGGGGCCTCGGCCATCACTGCCCCCTCCCCCGCCACGGCGATCACTAGGTGTCACGGCTTGGGAGCGGGCGTTTTAGTCCGGTGTCGGTTGAGCCCTGCCCGGCACTGGCCTCTGGGCTCCAGAGGGAGCGGACAGATGGGGTCCTGTTTCCACCCACCTTTCCGTGAACGGGGAAGGAGCGGACGCCCCCGCCCTGCCCCGCAGTCAGCCTAGGACCCGAGGAAGACTGACTCGCTCCACGTGGGTGATGCGCGTGAGCAGCGACCTGGGAGTGGGGGCCGGGCCGGCCCGCGGGGTGGTGTGACGGGTGGCTCCCAGATCCCCGTGGAATGGGGGGCACAGCCCCAGGAAGGGCGGGTGCTTCTGGAAGAACCTGAGTGGGGGCTGCTGAGAGCAGAGAACAGTGTCTGGGCCAGCTGCCCCGGGGGATGCTGGGAGGCAAGCAGGTGCACGGTCAAGGGAGGGAAGTCTCCGTCCGGGGCTGAGGGGGCCCAGCCTAGGGGTAGTTCTAGCATTTCCCAGAACTCCGCTGGAGCCCCAGCTCCATGCTGGAGAAATCACCGGGGACTCACAGAGGAGGCATTTAGCCTGGAGAGGAGGTGAATTCATTCATTCCAAGAAATGTGCGGGTCAGAGGCAAAGCACTGGAGGGAGACATAAAACAGACCGGGTGCTACCCGTTGGGGTATGTGGTCTAGTGGGGGTGACCTGACAGGCCTACAAACAGGATCGTTTTGGTTGCTTATCAGCACTGTGAAGCGGGTCTCACAGGGTTCTGGAGAATGGGTTCTAGGCAGACAGCAGCAAGTGCAAAGGGCCTGGGGTAGGATGCATGGCCCAAGGAGGCCAGCGTGGCTGGAGGAGGGGCAGCGAGGGGAATGTGGCAGGAGGAGCTGAGTTGAGGGTAGGATGGAACCAGCTGGAACCAGCTCTCGGAAACCCAGGTCGGGCCTGCTGTGGGGCCTCGCCTAGGGGGGACAGCAGCGCTCGCACCTGTCGATGCTGTCGCCGAGAGGCCCCTGAGCCTGGGAGGGGGTGGGCACCACGGCTGGGCCGCACGGGATGGAGGGGCTTGGCGGGAATGGCACGGGCACCCTGGCCAGGGGGCTGGACTGACCAAGGCTTGGGGGTCTTGCGTCGGGCGTCCTTTGGGCCAGGTGCGCCCCAGGCGCCAGGCTCATCCTCCCGTGTGGGGCCCCGGGACATGCAGTCTGTCCCCGTCTGTCATCTGCCCAGACGTCACCGCCCCTCTGGCCAAGCCAGACATTCGAGCTGCTCCCAACTCCTCTCTCTCCCTCACCTCTAACTTGTTGCCAGGTCTGGAAGTTTCCACCAGCGAAGCCTATCAGGACTCTGCCCCCACGCCAGGCACCATCCCCTCTTTTCCTGGACCCTCCATGGCCCCCCCACATCTTCCCGCCAGCGGGGTCCTGTCTCCCAGCTCAGAGCCTCTGTGGCTCCCCTTGTCCTTGGAGGAAAAGCCAATGCCATGAGGCCCGTACTAGCCCCCTCACTGTTTGCTGGACACACCAGTCACAGCGTACCACAGGCCCTTTGCATGTGCTATCGACTCCTCCAGCTTCTACCAGCTGAGTTCCTCCTTCAGCTCTCAACCCAGAAGTTTAAGTTCAGGGGGGCTGAGGCTTGCAAGCGTTCTGAACCTAATTCAGCCGATGATGAGTGGGCGTCAGAGATTTCTGGTGAGAGTTTTAGGACCGTCCATTCAGACTGGAGTGTGGGGGGCGGGCTGAGCCAGAAGAGGCTGGGTGAGGGGAACAGAGCGGGGGGGAAGGGGGGGACAGAGACGGTCACTGAGTGTCCACAGGGAGTGGGGCAGGAGGAGGCGTGGCCCTGGCCCAGAACCCACCGACCGCTCACACGGCCGGCCCTTGGCTTTGCGGTGAGATGGGGTGGCCCTGACAGGAGGAGGGGCTGGGGGTGGCCCTGGGGCCGCCTTCTCGCACCATCCCTGGGGGTCCCCAAGGGGCCTTTTCCAGTTACTTTGACTTTGAGGTTACGAATCCCCTCTGTCTGTGGTCCGGGACCCCTGGGCTCTGCCCAGGGAAGAGTCGGGGCTCCCGGGGCCAGGTCAGGTGAGGTCCTGCTGGCCGGTGGGCTTTTCCTCCCAGGGCCTTCCCCTCCCCCGCCTGCGGGGTCTTAGTCTGCAGACCCTGGCAAGGGGTCGGGGAGGTCAGCGTGGGGCTCCTGGCCCAGAGGACACACTTACTTGCTGCAGCTGATAAGGGCTTGGGGGCCGGGAGGGGCTGCGGGCGCTGCCAGGGTTATCTGGAGGGCCACGCGCTGCCAGCCCGTTTCCTGTCGCTAATCAGCCGGGGGCAGCCTCTGGGACCGGCCTGGGAGCCCTGAAAACACCCTCCCGGTCCTGGGACTGAGGCTCCCGACGGTGGCAAACTGGGGAGAGAGTTTCCAAAGTCACCTGCTCCTCTTGGGGCACAGGGCGAACTGCGGCTGGGGGGGGGGCCCGGGGACGTGGCCACCAATCTGGGCAGCAGTCGTGAATGGTGGCTGTGTTCTGAGTGTCCCCACTGTGGGGGAGGTGACCTGCCTGGGAGGTGGGGGGGGCCTGACGCCACCCAGGCCAGCCCCCCCCACCCCGCCTCCTTGAGAAACTGACCGTCCTCCAAGGGGGTGACTCCCTGGGGCGCGGGCTCAGGGAGGGTCCCCGGGGCCCCCGGCTCCTTCCTCGTCCCTGTCAGTAAGGCGGTCCCTGGTCCCACACCCAGAGGGCCAGGCACACACACACCCACACACACACACACACACACACACACACATACGTGCATGTTCATGCACACGCAACTCACTGTCTCTCTCTCTCCCCCACCCCCACATAGACTCACACATGGACACGGACACACGTGTGCACCTACACACTCCTGGATGCACACATCCACAGCCGTGCACACCAGTCACACATGCACGCACCTATACACTCACAGCCCCATACACGGGGACACACACACACACACACACTACACGTCATGTACACGAGACCGACGTGTGTGTACATGTGTGGGTGCGCAAGCACACAGGCACACAGATACATTTGCTCCCCGACACGCTCATCCCCTCACGCGTGTTAGTGACAAGCCCAGAGCCGCCACCGTGGTCTGGGGTCCGTGCTAAGTGTGTTCACAGCCACCAGCATGTAGAGGGGCTCACCGTTTTGAGTCACCGGGGAAGGGGAGGCAGGCATGGAGCCAGGCCTGGAGGCTCAGAGGGCGCGGGGTGGGGGGTGTGGGGTGTGGCTGGGGGTCAGGGGTCGGGGGATGGGGGAGCTGTGACCCTGGACGCCTCTCCCTGGGGCCGAGCCCTGACCAGCGGGGCAGAGAGGATGGGGCGGGAGCGCCCAGGGCTGTGGCTGTAGACACAGGGCATTGCGGGCACCACGGCCTCCGGCACACGGTGGGGGGAGGGTGTCACCAGCTGCCGCTGCCCCCCGCTGGGCTTGCTTCCTCCAGCCTCAGGGGACTGAGCCTCTGGGAGTGGCCCCAAGTTGGGGGGGCGAGGGGGGCGGGTGAGCACCTGCTCCCTCACCCGGGGGTGGGGATGACTCTGCTGCGTGGACCCCAGGGGGGCGGAGCTCCGTTGCCTGCCTTCCCGCCTCCATCCCAACTCGTCCCCACTGTGCGCTGCGCTTCCTGGGATCCCGTCCCCACCGCTTGGGGGGCGCCTGCCTAGACAGCGGAGCAGGAGCCTGCCGGTGCCCTGGCCCGATGCAGACACTGTGGCCCTGGCTCCTCGCGGTCCTTCAGGAGGGTCCCGTTTCTCCCCTTTGTGCCGGCGCAGAGGTAGGCGCGGAGAGGCTCCCCCAGCCAGTCCGTCCCTCTGTCCGCAGCTCTCTGAGCCGTCGTCACCCTCTGAGCCGGCAGGGGGCCAGGGCCAGGGAGGGTGCCCAGGGAGGGCGAGGCTCCTGCTCAGGGGGGCACTTCCGTTACTGCCTGGAGCCTCATTATCCCACTTCCCAGATGAGTAAAACTGAGGGCCAGAGAGGAGGAGGGGGCTTCTCTAGACCACTGAGTTGTTGCCCCCGCTCCGCTCTAGGGGTGTAGCCACGAAGGGGCCGCTGGGTTTGGGGTCAGACCAAGTCCCCTCCGTGCTACTCCACCCTCTGCACCTGGGGCGGAGGGGGGCTCACCCGGCCCCTGGCCTCTCTGATCCTCAGTTCCCGGCACAGCCCGGGGGTCCCGGGGCGGCACCCGCAGGTGCTATCTGCCTAGTAGCCACTGGCCTCCGGGGTGAACGTCCCCTGGTGTTTTCCTTTGAGGAGCTGGGCTGCCTCGGCCTCGGGGACCCCCAGCCCAGCTCCGCAGTGCACACAACGGGTGTGTCTACTCCCCCGGCCCCAGCGGTTGGGTCCCAGGGGTGGGCATGTGACCCAGTCTGGGTGAATGAGAGTCAGTCCTGGACGTCTACAGGGACTCGTGGGAAGGAAGCTCTTTCTGCTGGGAAGCCAGGCGGGAGCAGATAAGCCCGGAGCTCCTGGGGACCGGGGCTGGGGAGGGACGATTTGTGCCTCATGGAGATACTGCCCGAGAAGGAAACCAGCACAAGGGCAGGTAGAGCTGAGGAGTGAAGGAGAGATGGGGTCTTGGTGACACCTTTAAGGGCCCCTTGATCCAGCTATGCCTGAAGCCAGATCCTGGGCTGTTACAAGTGCTTCTGTCATACGAGCTAACAAATTCCCCCTTTTGCACAAGCCTAGTCAGTTTTGTTCAACCAAGACTCTGGCTGAACTCCTGGCTGGCTCAGTCGGTTAAGCGTCTGACCCTTGGTTCTTTTTTTGGCTCAGGTCACGATCTCACAGTTCATGAGATCTCTGCGTTGACAGCATGGAGTCTGCTTGGGATTCGCGCTCTCCCTCTTTCTACCCCTTCCCCCTCCCTGTCTCAAAATAAGTAAATAAAC